ATTGTGCCTTCCAGGAGACGAGACGTTACCTTGACTTTCACAATCATATATCATGCAACACGCAGTATAGAGGATCAGATATACCTTCCATTCTGCACCTCATCATAACATAACAAGAGAACGTTGTGGAAAACATCGCATATGAAAGTCCATTAGGATCGAGTGATCACGTGGTTCTCATTTTTGATTATGTTTGTTCGGCAGTGAGACCTAATGATGAGCTTAAAATGATAAGGAAAGTGAACACGAAAGCACTGTCGAATACCCTGAGTCATTGTACGGACTGGTATTCAGAAGGTCCAGACGTCCACCAGCAATGGTCTAGCTTCATGGGGAACTTTGTCAATAAAATACGTTTGCACTCCCACTTCGTTCCAAAGAATACTCAGCTGGGATTCGATTTTAGGTTACGAAGCAGAACCCGAAAATGGATTCTGGAGCGTAATGCAGCCTGGGCTGAATACCGACGTCACCGAACAACAACAACATGGGAAAAATATCGGTTACTTAGAAATAAAGTCAACACGCTGGTCGTGAACGACAAAAAAGGATTACCAGCTAATGCTTTTAGAGAAAATGGAAAAAAATCCGAAGCTTCTCTATTGGATCATTAATAATAAGGCGTCTGTGAAACCGGGTATTTCACCTCTGCATACCCCTAATGGACTGACGGCCACTGCGTCAGCTGCAGCTGAAGAACTGGCGGAGTTCTATTCCACTGTTTACTGTCAGAAGGAATATATAAGCCGGATGTCGTTTATGTCTCCCTCACCGCCCACCTCCCTACATGAAGTAATTGTGACTCCAGAATGTGTACTCCGAACGTTACTTGAACTAAATCACAGAAAATCTCCCGGTGCCGATCAGATAACACCATTTATCCTCAAGCAGTGTGCTCATTCCCTATGCACACCTCTCGCTGAGTTATTCAATTCGTCCCTAAATAACGGTGTGGTTCCCAACGACTGGAAGAAGGGCGTTATCACTCCCATATACAAAGGAGGTAATCGTTCGGTCGTGTCAAACTACCGGCCGGTGACTCTGTTGCCGGTGATCTCCAAAGTGCTTGAGCGACTGGTGGCAAACAAAATCATTAAACACTTAGAGGAAAACGGATTGCTTTCGGCTGCCCAGCATGGTTTCAGAAAAAACAGATCCTGTCTGTCCAATCTCCTCATTACCTTAGACGACTGGACGCAAGCTGTGGACAATGGAAATCCCGTTCACGCATGCTATCTAGACATCTCCAAGGCATTTGATCGCGTGAACCATAACATATTGTTGCAAAAACTCGAGCATTATGGTATTACGGGAAAGCTGCTGGCTTGGCTTGAAATCTATTTGGCTGACCGAGACGCGCGTGTATGTGTTGACGGCGCTCTGTCCAAGCCAATTGCAGCTACAAGTGGAGTACCCCAAGGCTCTGTTCTTGGGCCTACTTTATTTTTATTATACGTAAACGATATACCTGAGCTCGTGAGCAGTAAAATCACTTTATTCGCAGACGATATCAAGATATGGTCAAGCATACGCACCATTGAAGACTGTCACCGATTACAAAAAGATCTCGATACACTTTATGATTGGTCACTGAAAAACAGACTACCGTTTAACCTCCAAAAATGTAAAATGCTCCGTGTAGGGAAGCCCTTTGCATATAACTATACGTTGGGTCCACAACCACTTTCTTGGACTAGTGAAGAAAAAGATCTTGGCGTGTGGGTCAGCAGCTGTTTAAAAAACTCCTTGCAATGCACAGCCGTCAACAAGAGGACCTCACAAGTCCTGTCGCTCCTAAAACGGACTTTTGGTCGTTTCACTCGACTGGCACTCCCCCGAGTAATCAATACCTACATCCGACCAACCATGGCGTACGCTATACAAGCTTGGTCACCATGGTTTCAAAAAGACATAATTCTTCCACAGCGAATATATCGAGCCACGAAGCTGATAATTGGATTGCATAAGAAACCATACGAAGACAGAATTGCCAGTCTCAACCTGTTTGACTTCTACTATCGGCGCATCAGGGGAGACCTAATTTTAACATATAATATACTGAAGACACCTAACCATCCGCTGGAAAATCTTTTTGTCCAACGTCGACCACGAACGGGCAGGATGCATGACTTGTCGCTCGCGGTACCTCACTCGAGGTTGAACTGTCGACGGAACTTTTTTGCGGTCCGTGCATGTTTCAGTTGGAAATCCCTACCTCCCAATGTTGTACATTCGCCGAGTTTAACCATTTTCAAGAACAATTTAGATGCATGTCTTATGACCAAACCGGATCTGGAACTGTTTAACTCCATGTGCTACTCAGTAAACATGACGCATATTTTTGCGTCCCTTTGTATATATACGTTCACCCTATGGTCGTTGTAAAGTTAACTGCTTTTTAGACCATTAAACCTTGGATTACCTTGAATTACCTTGAATTACATGGTGTCCCCTCAAACAGAGTTTAATGCTCAATGATCATATGCACTGGATTAATTGCTTTCGAAGCAGGGTGAGTCACTCAGATGCGAATTGCTAGTCCGCTACATCCTGAACCGATGTGTTTATCTGCTGGTCCAGCTCTGATTGACGTTAACTTAAGACGAGCGGTCATACAGGCATTGTCGTGCAGCAACCTGGTTCGTTTTGTCTTGTGTATGTGAATTCAGTAAATATTGCAACTTCACACCAGCTCGATATCATCGCATTCGGATTTGAACATGGCATCTGCATCACATAGTTTCGAGACATATCTAGCCATAATGAGGGTACCTCATTACCAACTGCTCTGGATTTCATTCATGTCAAATAATTCTGAATGCATTTGGCTATGTAGGCAGTGTGTTAGCCGAACTCCTTGTATGGCAGTTGCCTAAAATGGAAGTAGAATTTCTATTCATATGGTGTTTTGCAACATCGCATAAATAGTAGTCAATTCTTCCCAACTAGAGACAAACAAGTTCACTTAGCTGGGTGTGATTAAAGCGTGGTATGTCTCTGGGATCACATAATCTTTTTTTAATTTTCTGCTCATCTTCACTTTCTCCTACAACGCACCATAGGGCTAATTTTTGACCCTTTGCAAAACTCAGTGAACTCACAGTCACGGCAACCGCGTTTTTTCCACTCATGGATACGCTCTGATGATAAAGTGGGGTTGTCACTCTGAAGTAGCTGAAGAACCTCGTGTGTTTGATTCATGTGCTTACTCTATATATGTTACAAATAATTAGTTGTTCTGCTTTAGCTTGCCTGAATGAAAATTTTCAACATTTTCGAATGAAGATTTAAGTTCCGGTATTTAACTGACCACAAAATTAATTTACCCATTGTGTATCAAAACCCTATGACTTATTTCGATGATCCAATTTATTATGATGAGATGCATTTTTCTGCAAGCATTTGCAACTGGCGTGCACAATAATTAGTTGCTTTAGCTTGCCTGAATGAAAATTTTCAACATTTTCGAATGAAGATTTAAGTTCCGGTATTTAACTGACCACAAAATTAATTTACCCATTGTGTATCAAAACCCTATGACTTATTTCGATGATCCAATTTATTATGATGAGATGCATTTTTCTGCAAGCATTTGCAACTGGCGTGCACCATTTTGCTTCTAAAACCTTCCACGCGATCACCTGGTTTTTCGACAAAATCGCGCGTTTGTGTCGGCAGCCATTAGTCTGTTTGTGAGCTTCCTAATTCGACATCCTACTACACCTGTTTATGTTGCTGATCGCTATTCGAAGACGACGATCCTCATTTACTCTATTCAGCTGTAATTAACTACAGCTGTAACTACAGCTGAACAAGCCTGAAGGCCCACTAACAGAGTATCATTTCAGTTGATCCACTGGGACATGGACTGGACAGTGTGTACCCAAAAATGTACGTTTACCTACGAAAAGCGCCATCGAGAAAACCATCACGATGCGATGAGAATTTCGGGTATTCCGTTGTTTGTACACTTATCAAAGGTTCGCACTGCCATTTGCACTGAAACAGTGGCAAAATATGCTAAGAGTGAAACAAGTGAAGGCAGTTTATATAAGCCAATTTCCTGACAAGTTAAGGCAGAATTACCCGCGGTGGATTATGGTACAAACTTACAAGTGAGCGATCAGTTCACGCACCAGTCGTCGAGTTGTTCAAGCTACCGCATCATCAGAAGTGAGCTCAGGAGCCGATGAAAAATCTGAAGTGATCTCCGAATCCGGTCTGCTCAAGTCCTAATTAAGGTGCCGGGCACCCACCCGAATGAATTATTTGAAAATTCAAAAAGGGACCAAAATCCTTGAGATGTAATTCAAAATGATTTACTGTCTGTGTTTCAATCCTTGCTGCACGTTATTATTTGTACACTACGTCTATGGGTGAACCATTATTGCTTAACTACCTTGTTCCGAATGCCCGAAATGCAGCTCTTCTACATAGTACTTTGCATCCAAACCAGCAGACTGCAGATTACTTTGAGTACACATGACCAATAACTATTTCCCAGTGATGCTAAATTCGAGCAAAACTATGATAAAATGGCTGATTATAACTGCTTTAATTAGTTCAAGACGAAGTCGATGAATATAAAGTACCTATTGGACAACAATCGGTGGATGGTTTAGTTCATTACTTGCAGGTGGAGGGTAAGCCGAGAAGGGACAATCCAAATACACCAGCTTCTACCGTGGTCAAGTACATAGTATCTACAAGCAAACGATGTTTAGCGTGCTACCCCGGCAGTAAATTGCAGTTTGTCGCGGTTTCTCTTGTACACATACATTTGTTCTCCGAAAATGAAGTATGTAAAACACTAGTCCCCAACTTCTGAAAGTAGGTTTGAACCACGTCCGAACTTCGGATTTTCCACCGTCGTTCTAATTTCTTCCCGTGGTCTGTTCTTACAGGCATTCGCCTGATGTGACCCGCTGTTAACTCATCTAATTAGAACCTATGCTGCCATGCATTTAATATAGCTTCACTGAGAAGTAACTAGGACTCAAATCAGTTACATGAAATCACAGAATTCGCTTAAACCCAGGGTTATAAATTTTTGCGTTTTAGTAACTACCAGATGCCCTCATGGTTGTCTGCTCCAATTAGACCACCTCATAACATCTTAGATTAGCCAGAATGTCTAAGTTTTTGATCCCCAAAACAACTCAGTCCCACTCAGTTCCATTCTATTGACAAAGCTGCAGGTCTTTTATCAGCACCTCAGTTAGTCACGAGGCAATCCTTTAAGGTCAATTCAGCTGTCAGCATAACCGGACAGAGCATCAAGCAGTTCCATCTACTGGCAAATTCTATAATTTCCTCGCTGATTTCACAAAAGTGTTTTTCATTTTGAATCTTGACAGAAGTCCAGGAATGGGTTTTATAGGTGCAAATATGATCTTCGTTAGAAAAAAGCCAAGGTAAAAGCCTCGCCCAAAGCAATCTTCGGGTAACAGAGATGAGATTCGTTAGCGTTACACGACAGAAAGAGCAATGATGACGCGCTTAGAAGCTTTGGCTTTACTGCACACAATATGTAACATCGCAGGAAACCCAAGAACTATAAAGTCACATTATTGGGAACAAAAGTTCTCATAACTAACGCACAAAACTCGCGACCAGTGTGGTAAATCTCAGACGGTGTTTGAAACCTATTTTACAAATCCACAGTCCGTGTTTTTTGTTTTAAGGAAAGGATCTCCAACTTTTTTGATTCACCGTCTATCCAAACACACCAATAATCCCGAGATCACCAAGTCCAGTTGAGCCTGAAGGGATGTGTCCTTTCTCTTCGATGATATCAACCATCGAAGAAAAGCTATTACATAAATTTACAAATGTCAAAGCACCGAAAGGGAATTGGAAACAGTTTTCTCGAAAACATCTTTACATTCGGCACATTTTGTCGTTTTGAAAAAATTACTGAATTCAGCTGACATTATTCAACCACGAATGTTTCACACTTCTCTTATAAGTTACAACAGCCCAACACACGCGGTAAAACACCATACGAAGAGTTCAAGTTCACCAATGTGGTAAGACGCTCTCCATTACTATTGCTAATAATAATGTGAGGTTCTAACGAAAACACGTGTTCCAACATGCCAATCTCATGCACTGTCGTGAAAACACCCGGACAGTTACGGACGCACACTTGCTCACCGCTTTCTGAGAATCGCCTGATCAATTCCGCAGCATTCAACCTTACTAAAGATAGTAACAGTGCTCAGAATAGAGCAGTGTGCATTGCCTGGTTGGTGTTAGTATACTGGCTTCATGAAATTCACCATTCCGTTGTAGGTAATACCGATATTAGTAACCCCGCTAGAAGAAGGCGCCAACAGGATTCCCTCTCGAATAAAAGAGAGAAAAGCCCGTATTTAAAAGGGTGTACTGCACACTGAACTCCTCAAAATGGATATCCACCATCATTCATTCACATTTTGTAGCCTACTGTTGACCGAATATGTGCTGTGGCTTTCGTTACACGACGACATCGTGCGCAGGAATTGTTCAGTGAACACATACAGTTTGATTGATCGATTCCGGATACGTGGCCTAAACAATGTTCGAATGAAGATATGTTACGACTGTCTCAGATGAGGGCCTAGAGAGAGAATTTTCTTGGTGCACTAAAACACGTTTGCTTGCTTTCATTGCTGGTGCTGGTGTTGGTTCGATTGACGTGCTGTTGATTATTCCGTTCAGTGGATCTCAAGCCTGCTTTCTAAGACCTCCTTGATGGCCATCTGCAGAACACATGGTGCCCACCCAGACAAAGCTTGGTGCTCAATGATCACATGCACTGGATTAATTGCTTTCGAAGCAGGGTGAGTCACTCAGATGCGAATTGCTAGTCCGCTACATCCTGAACCGATGTGTTTATCTGCTGGTCCAGCTCTGATTGACGTTAACTTAAGACGAGCGGTCATACAGGCATTGTCGTGCAGCAACCTGGTTCGTTTTGTCTTGTGTATGTGAATTCAGTAAATATTGCAACTTCACACCAGCTCGATATCATCGCATTCGGATTTGAACATGGCATCTGCATCACATGGTTTCCAGACGTGTCTAACCAGAATGAGAGTGCCTCATTACCAAACACTCTGGATTTCATATATGTCAAATATGTCTAAATACATCTGGCTATGTAGACAGCGTGTTAGCAGCGTGTTAGGCAGCGTGTTGCCTAAAATGGAAGTGAAATTTATGTTCATATGTTGTGTTTTGCCACAGCCCATAAATAGTAGTCAACTCGCCCCAACAACTAAACTTCATGTGATTTAATCGTGGTATCTGTCTGGGATCACATAACCTTTTTTATAATTTTCTATTCCTATTCACTTTCTCTTACAACACTCCATAGGGCTGATGATTCACGCTTCGTAAAACTCAGCAAACTCACGGTCACCATACCTACGCCTTCTAGCATGTGGGTACGACCTGATGATAAATTGGGGTGGTCACTGCAAAGTAGCTGGACAACCTCATGTGTTCCATTCATGTGTGCTTTCTGCTGTTTACCCGTTAGTATTCATTGCTGTTACTTAGATACTTCTCTTTATTTAGGCTCATCGGCATCAATAGTTGCACAGAATATTTCCAGAATCCCTAAGCAATTTTCCTAATTCTTCACTTTTTTGCGTCTACCTTGAATAAGCTACATTCTGTCTTCATATATTGCAACTTCTTAAGTATTTTGCATACTTCTGCCAGGACCATTGTGATCTTTTTTGTGTTCATCCCAGCGCACCAGTTTTGTGATCGGTACGCTACAGATTTCTTGGCAGCACAGCGATATTTTCCTTTTCATTCGTTGGCTGGGCACATGAATGGATGAAATTCCGCTTTGCATTGAACCATTGGTTGGCTACTGATAAGTTCAATTTTGTACACTTTGCCATTTATTTTCCATCTGAGTGATCCATCGATTCAACCTCAGATGTGCCGGGTATCGTTTTTTTATTCTCCCCTATCCTTGTCCTGCCGGACATTTAGACAGCCCACAAGCAAGGGGAAGTACCTAAACTTACGGATCTGATCATGGGATCTCTACTTATTCTTATCCAAGTGTGACTTTGTGGGAGCAATTATCTGATAGATGTGGTATACATTGCTCTTGACAGCCACTAATTGGCCATCAATTCACTGGAGAATTCTTCTGACAGATTTTAATAGTAAATGCACACAACTGCAGCTACCTATTTAGACTGCGTTATAAGCGCTCTGATTGCTAAACTTTGGTATTACCGCCGCCAATTGGTACCAAGTAGAGGGATTGTCTGGACCCTTGTCAAATTGTTAAACAGAATAAGATGCTGCGATAGTTAACGCTGCTGCGCGTGGAACTTTGGTATTACCGCCGCAAATTGGTACCAAGTAGAGGAATTGGTCTGGACCCTTGTCAAATGGTTAAACAGAATAAAATGCTGCGATAGTTAACGCTGCTGCGCGTGTGTTCTTACCACTAAATCCTGTTGGGTTGTCCCCAACTGGTCGACTCGAAATAGTAGCCTGTTCAGCAGAATGACCAACTTCTAATAAAGTGGCTGGTTGGTAAATAAGATTTTGTCTGACTTCTCCGGTTGGAAAATATTTGTTTCTTATGGGAAACAAAGTGTTCGTTTCCGTACTACGGCTACCGAGCTTTCTCATTCATAATCTCCGAAAATCGGCTGTTCACTTACAGAAAGCATTTGCTGAAAAGCGTCTGTGCAACTCATTGAAAAACACTGTTTTGAAGTTGGACATTTATAGTCATATTTCTAGTGTATGATCCAGAATTCCTACTAGATTGTTCTGCAGGAAAAACCGTAAACTGATTTTTCAAACAGATTTGTTTTGTGCACAGGATTTTACCAAACCCGGCTTAAGCATGATCTTTTTCCTTCAATTTCGGAAACATTCACCACACTTTTACAGTCTGCTCTGTTTTGAATATGCCGTGCAGGTTTGAACCTCCCGGGGGATTTTGAGTGAATGACTCTCAAATGATCACAAAGGTGTAAAATTTAATCCTATTGAGGATTCCACCATATAGACTACGAGTTCCTAATCTTTTATTCTGGATATTTAGGAGGTTCCACGATGACAAGATCCTAAGCTTCGTCATTCCTGTTAGTCAACACTTACATCTCCTTTTAGAGTTTATCCTTTCGATTTCCACAAACTTGGAGATCATCATGTGTATTTGGCCGACAGCTAATATTTTCCTTGTGCACTCGAACTCCAAATAAGCAGCTTTTGATTCAGTTATCTATTCATGTTACATCTAAATCACTCCACAGTATCGATATTCAATGTTGCGAGATTACAGTGGCCTTAATTTAGATAGCAGGCTTTTTAGAACTGTCCGCATGCTACTACTACCTAAAAGTGACCGCAATAATTCGTCACACACGAATTATTAGTTAAGGAGTCAAGTGGCACAGCCGATTTTCATGAGCCATATATCACTCTGAAGTGTAAAACTCAGATATATTGCCACAAACGATAGGCGGACTTTCTTGAACTGTATCCGGATCTTAAAATCAATAGAAATTCCGTGGTGTAGAACAAATAGACAGCGCTAGAACTTAAACACGGTTTGGCGGTAGTGCAAATTGGCAGATTAGCTTCCATTATGGGATTAAATCTGAACTTAAAATTCCAAAGTCTCTTCACTCTACCATCGGTTTGTAAGCAGCTTAGATGAAGAAGGATCTCCAAAAATGATTGAAATCACCATCTGAGAAGTCGTCATTCGAGGAATCAGTCAATACGTGAGCACGCGATGTGATCTTCATGACTGAAAGCTGAATGGCAATCTGTCACGCCTGAGTGCGATTTAGTCACACTAATAGCTAGGCCGAAGTGTTGAGCGCTCAAACTACTCACCGAAAGGTCACGGGTTTGAAGCTTCCTGCAGTTTGATGAAATGCGCTCTGATTATTATTCTCATTGGGACTGAAACAGCTGCACAGTAATTCTCGGCTTTCCATCATAGGTGGGCTTAAATAACAGGACGAAATTTCAAATGTAAACGCTTCACATTCAACCAGCATTTATTGTTTGCCTATTGTCTAGTTATCAAACCAACATTCCATATTTCTAGCCTTTAGTGCGCTTCCTATACTGTACACACAAAACGTTGTTGGGTAGTATTTATGGGGTTGCCGAATATTCTGGTGTAGGTATTTTGCAATCAATATATCCTACCATCTGAGTTCATGGTAACACATGACAGCCGAATGAAGACGCTGAGAAAGAAAAGAGAGAGAAAGGCAAGATGAAGCTGGTTTTATTAGCATCAGTGTGTTCAGCTAAGCTCTCACATGATAGAAAGGGTAGACTTGTATCAAAGGCTACTGGAAACTAAGTGTGGTGTGCGTGCGTCTGGTAGGGGTTAATGTCCTCTTGCAAACGCACTGTTGGCGCCACCCTTGACATAAAATTTCGAAGGGATAGTGGACGTGTTCGGAATCAACAAACAGCAAGCGAACGCACGAATTCCAAGATAAGCAAGATCAGCAGACAAGTTTTGCCTACAGCTTCTCATAAACTTTTCAGCCAAAGCATACCAACCAATTGTTGAGCGAAGCCGTTTTTGTAGAGGTGGTGTCAGTCAACAGAGGAAGAGGGATTGACTCGACCACGAGTTATGCCTAGAACTCAAACACATTTAATTCAAAGCGCTGTTATGCTATCAAACTGCGATCTAGAAGTGCTCCGATTCGTTGAAAACTCAAGTTCAAGCCATTGAACTATCCTGTCGCTTGCGCACCTATCGTTCGGTTCTTGTCTACGTTATCTAGTTGTTGAAAGGAAAACGGCAACAGAATATTCGGGTAGAAGTGTTTGACAATTTTTAAACAGGTATCAAATTTTGGTGAGGCCAAAAGCCACAGTAAGCTAAGTTTGTCAGTATGTTTGCATGCCAGTCATGAAATAAAATAAGAACGTTGCTTGGATGCTGACCATCCATCACTATCGTTGTATCGAGGGTGGCCGTCTATTAGTTACACCTGAACGGAGCCTGCCAGACTGCGCGGTAAGAAGAAGACACAGAACCCGAAACACGGCTGTATTGTCAGGACAACCATACAGAGCTTCTGTGAAAATATATAGGATGGATGAGTTGCCAAATAAAGCCATTCACTTTTTCGTTCTGTCCAGCCAATGGCGACGTTCCTCTCGTGAGCAGCGTCATACCCACTCCACTGGTCGCATGCTAGTAGGCCGAATACTAAGCATGCCAACGCACCCTCTGTCCGGAACATGTGATACCGATGGTGACCTTGGGGACGCGTCGTTCGCTGCGCATGCACTTTTCATGTCCGCACCCATCCTGACAGCTATAGAACTCTAGAAATGAGATAAGTTATTTTGTGAAGTCCTGTTCAGGTCGACCAAAACACACATGATATGGTGGGCTTTTCGCTTCAATTTCATTTGCAGCGACGAAATAATGCGATAGTACTTTCACACCAGTTACTCTAGCTCCGTTAGTTTGTCTCATGCTCGTTTATTAAGTCTCTGGTGGTTGCACTGTTTGATAAGTGGAATATGTTTAGTTAGGCCAACTGGAGCGTTCAGTCCTGTTTGCAACGTCTTAGACACCACCGACACATCTACCGGCTTGTTTCACTAACTTGGATTTGCTTCACCTTGCATGCCACAACATCCACCCTACCCATAACTGACGAAAGCCGAACTGCGATTGAACCCAGTAGTATCTTTTTTCTTCGTCGCTTAGGACCGTTTACGCCACATTTTTACCCTAATTTGGTAATGTACTACAAGTAGGAGCTTAAGCCCTTGCAATGCAACATGATAATCAATAATCGTCCACCTTTTGGTTCAGAGCTGCAATGCCACCCGAAGGATTGTTGACGGATGAGCCAGTTTACTCAACCTAGACAGAAATAGCCGAAGTGTCGAAGTTGGGCTGGAATCATCTTAACCGCTGGACTATATCCAGGTATCTTTTTTCACTAGTTGGGACAAGATTTATTGCAACCAATGAGCAGCATTTTTCCCAAATTTTTGGCCTCTGAAGAATTCAAACATTAACCTAGATTACCCACTGATCAAATCCTTTAGTGCGCACGTTGAAAGATGACCTGGGAAAGGACAAGCAGTAAATTACCTCTTAGCTGTGAGTCTCACGTAGTCATTATTGCCACAATATTCCTTCATCAACTTATCGATTTGCTTTTTGAATAGTGACTGTAGCATGTGAAGCAGGCCGACCAGTCACCACATCCCAAAAAGTTGAAGTGGAACCAGGATGGATAGGCGTATGGTTCCCATGCGATTACGGTCGAAAATTATCCGTCGTATTGCCGGTCTGATCACACGACTTCTCGATCACCAAGTGCTTAAGGGGGCGGTCGCAGACATGACAGAACACGAAATAATGGATGTGTGTCTTTTAGTGCCAGATGCATTAATGACAGAAACATCTGTAATAAAGCTGCAGTCAGACAACCCGATAATGGTGGTCGGTGATATTTTTGGACAATACGGTCACCTGGTTCGATTGTTCAATAACTATGGTCATCCACCGGAACAAAAATACTTGTTTCTCGGAAATTACATCAATCAGGGCCCGAGGTCTATTGAAACCATTGCACTGTTGTTTGCTTACAAAGTTAAGTATCCAAAGGATATATTTCTACTCCGCGGAAAACACGAGTGCGAGCGGCTGGCCGAAATCTACGGGCTGTACGATGAGTGTGTGAAACGATTTAGCCGCCGCATTTTTCATGCAATTGTACAGGTTTTTCCTTACCTACCCTGTGTTGCCATTGTAGATAACCGTATCTTTTGCGTGCACAGCGGGTTATCACCAATGTTTAGCCAATACGACGTTACTGGAATCAAGGCGCTGCGGAAATTCATTCGCAAACACATAACTTTGCCAAGTGAAAGCAGTACGAATCGGCTCATCTCACATTTAGTCTGGTCTGATCCGGAAGAATCAATAGACCTGTGGGACCAAAACCCTGTTGGCTTGGGATATCTTTACGGAGCAAAAGCCGTAGAAGAGTTTTGTGAACGATTCGAAATTCAGCAAATTATTCGCTCAAGTGATGTGATTCAAAGCGGATACGAATTTTTCACTTGCCCAAAGCTACTTACTGTTTTCTCAGCTCCAGACTACATGGACATTTATGAGAACGATGCATGTCTTGTATTCTTGTTTCGGATGTATAAACACTCCGAAATCAGGGGCCAATTAAATGTAGTTTCCCCCATCATTCGCCTGCGTAACAAGCCAACAATGCGAATGAACGTAAGCTTGTCATCTTTCCCAATAGAGTTTGGTTCAGGTAAGTCATAACTTGTTCGCATCACTATCAGTCGCATACACACATTAACCCTTTTATATGACAGGGTTCTCTAGGTTAATCCCTTCTTTCACTAAAACACAGTATTGCACATGAAACTTGCTGTCCACATCTGCCTCAATGTGTTGTCTCCTCGAAACCATAACCCTCTTCTATTGTAGCAGAATTCGCTTGTTTCTAGACAGGAATGAAACACCTGGTCAGTTTCAATCACGTGGAAAATACCTGAAACCGATTGGGTAGTCATTGTTTTCGAAAAAGTTTGGTGACAATCGGTAGATTTATTGCTGGGCAACGTTTCGCTCCCTCGGCCGACACCCAACAGAGATTTAGCTTGACTTAGCTGATTGGTTTTCCTTCCGCCTTAAATCTCGATCAATCTCGGAACCTAGTCACTTAGCCTGACGAAACTTTTGTGTCAAAAGCGAAACGTTGCCCAGCAATAAATCTACCGATTGTCACCAAACTTTTTCGAAAACGATCTGGTCAGTTTTTTCATGTAAGGGCACACATCTTTTTGAAATGAGAGACGTCACAGCAGAGTTATCGGCAGAGCGTTTACTGGTGAACGAGGTAAATGTACTTGAGTATTGGGTTGCAAAACATGGTCGCTAATCAATATATATGACCGCGTTCTGTCGGTTCTCTGGAGATGGTCTGCATCAGTGTTTTGGGGCGTAAGTAGTTAGGAACAAGTCACTTCAACTTCAACACTTTCCCTCCTTCCTTACATCTTGGAGTTATCATAATATATTGCATGGTTGCACGCTGTTGAGGCGTCAGTCTGAATTTTCTATGGAATGCTGCTGCTGGTGTCGGTGGTGCTGTTGATGACGATGATGATGACGATGAGGAGGGGGAGGGGGAGAAGGATTATCATGACAAGAGTTCAAAATCTTCATTTTTAGATTGCTGACAGTGCACCAAAACAAAGAACAGAGATAAAGGTCTACTAACAGATGACTTTGGCTGCCATTCATCGGATTCCTCACAAATTGAAACGTGTAACAAACAAACTGTCTTTTTCCGAAGCAGCATTTTGGCTGGTTTGTGTATTCTTGGTTTTTTTAACTCGGGTGGCAAGTGCATAAATAATGTCAACGCTTCTTCCGTCAACGGAACAGAGCACAAAAATCCGGTAAACGTATTGAACATATTACACTATTCTGGAAATTGGTCTCAATGAGCAACCTTTGGTTGTCTGTCGGATACCGCTGCCATCCAATGGGCGAAAAATGGGTGAAGTTGTATGATGGAATGATACAATGGTGAAATCCTCTCAATTAGAGTTTGTCTAGCGGTACACTAAGTCTATTCTCTGTTAAATTCTAATTAAGCGATTTCTGAGTCCCTAAATTTGAGTGAAAAGAACACTTTAGGGCAAGAAGTCCACGCAGATAATGAGTCGATAACGGAGATAATTTTTAGAAAGACAATTAATGAATCTATTCAACGCCTACAAAAACTGTGACTGTACGGAAATCCTCCCACATCCGATGAACAGTTTCGGTTAAGCTGTTTTGCTTCATTCGAGTCACAACTCAACTTGGATCTTTTCTTCATACCGCACTAAAATTCTGTGCCGCACATCGCGCCAGAGTCAGATCAACAGTGCAATTGACGATTGCGTGGATGCAACTGAGAGCAGCTCGGTCAAAATGGGATGCCCAACTTGTCTGAACTATGGTTTCTGTAGGTACCTACTATCGGATTATGATCAACCCCGTTCTGCTATACTACTGCTTTACCTGTCTTGCAAACAGTGTCATATTCCTCATATGTGTGGCTTCGGAATATATCGCGCCTTCGCGACATACACCTAATTCCGAACTCTGATTGTTGCTTACCATGAAGACTGAAGTAGATTTGCCGCGAACTTGCCCTAAATTCTTGCAATCTGCTGATACCCACTTCTGATAAACACGTATTATCATTGTACTTAAATGTCCAAAGTAATTAGATGCAGACTTTTTTTATCTGACTAAATTGGATCTTGCACTTCAGGTCTGCCTCGGGTTCTTTTTAGCTCGCAACCAGGTGACTTCTTTTTTAGGTTTGGCCGAAGGAGAACACCAACTGAGCAGATGGCCCGGAAATCCTTGAGGACACGGATCATTCTCAGATGATCTCAGTTGATGTATGTGATCTTGTGTGGTTTCAAGTTTAATCGTGAGTTGTTAAGAGTTGGAGGTCTCTCAGATGTTTTATCTGATGATGCTTCAGAATCCTCTGCACAACAAGGAAGAGAAGCTGAGTGTGGTCAATTGTTAAAGAGCCGTTGTATTCACGTTATCTTTTGTTAACCTATTCAAATATAAACAACTAGCGTTAACTTTGACAAGGACCGTTTTACTAGTATTACGTGTAAACCATGATGATGGAAGAGAAGGAGTTCGCATTTGAAACCCGTCGGAGTTCCTCGTTAATTCGTTACTGAAATCACCTTCTTTGCAAAACAGAATTGGCAATATAATCTCCCACCGTTTTGGTCTTTACAAGCAGCCATGGCATCAGAAGAAAAGCTCACCTATGACATATGCATAGAATTCGAACCTACCAGGCTTAATAATCTCATTAAAAGGAAGCAAACGAATCTCGGCAAATACACTCATTTGCATACCAACCGGGTTTCTACGAGAGAATCAAATGAATCTTCCGCTTATTATATTATTCAAACGAATGTGCTGCACAAAGGCCACTGTATGTTTCAGTTGGTCCAATATTCGAGCTATCACAGTACTTCTTCATACACACTTTTTTGCACACGGTTTCTGGAAATTCTTTGGCTGCTTGAGACCGGTTTTCGCTCTCTTAAAGATCATCAGGTGGGTACAGTCCCTAAAATATGTTCATGCGGCAGTCATTTCGGGCGGACAGTGCAAAGCAGTTAAGTGTATGTCGTAAAATATCATGATTCTCCGGATTTCCTAGAGATAACTGGGACAAGCGTTTCACCTCTTGGCCCTTTTGAAGAATGTAAAACAGAAAAGAAGCAGAAAGATGGTGATAAGCTCTCTTAATGAAAATAGCCAGTTGTACCTTTGGCTGTTTGTTTCTTTCCACTTTCAATGAACCAAGGCCTGATCACCTGTAGCACGTTTGTATAAAATTATACCCGGTTTTTGATTACTGTGGACCATTCCGAATGTCTTATATCTCAAGCATATCTAACACTCATCTCCTACGTGGTTACAAAACTTGTTCATTATATCCGTCCAAACAAACCTTGGCAACCACACCTTGTCAACAATGGTGCTGGTGCCTTGAAGGACAACTAAAAACGGAGCAGAGTACCGTCGAGAACGATATGGCGCAGCTTCGCCTGTTTGTGGTAAGCGGCGTCCGTAGGCAAAGCTTACAAAGGATCGCGATTTTTGAAGATATGGAATCCGATTTCCCTTTTTGGCAGCGTGTATCCGAGATACTTCTGGCAGGAATTGATCCTTTTACAGCAACTTAGTTGTAGCGATCATAACTGTTCCTTCGTTTTTGCCTCGGCGTCTTGTTTAGTCAATATAAACCATATGTGGCGTTGCCAACCACGCGAATTGACCCATCAAGATACTTCGATGCAGCGTGTAAACATGAAGATGAATCCCACTCTATTTTGTGTGTATTTTTTTAATTTTCATCCAGACTAAGTTACATATGACCAGAAATGATCTTACTCCGCTGATAATGCCGCTTTTGAACGAAATATTCTCATGAAATACGTCGATTTCCGGAACCTTCTGTTCGCAATACCTCATCCGTTTCCGCTTCTGGCCATGCGGTTTAGAAACCACAACCTTATTCATATAGATAAATTTTGGATACTCCAAATCAAGACACGGAATCATGTTTCTGATAATCAAACTGTGGGCTTCAAACGAAGGTCATATAAATAAGCTCTTACTGAACATCGGAATAATGACCATTGAAACCAGCGTTTAATTTAATTTGTCAAACATAACTTACAACATTGAGCACATTCAAGCAGATCACCGTTGCATAACAATTACAATCACCCAACTAGTGAAAACAAACAATGTTTTGGTATTTTCAGTAATCATGGTACTAAAAACATCCTAAGCCTCTCTTTCAGTCTCCTTCAGGTAGGTGTAGTTCATGAGGGAAAAAATAGGCGTTCTTGGAACCCGAGAATGAAAGAAATGACACAGTTGTGAATCAGAGTGAACGAGTAGCCTGATTTTTTTTGGGGGGGGAGGGGGGAAAGACAATGAGGTTACTGAACATCGGAATAATGACCATTGAAACCAGCGTTTAATTTAATTTGTCAAACATAACTTACAACATTGAGCACATTCAAGCAGATGACCGTTGCATAACAATTACAATCACCCAACTAGTGAAAACAAACAATGTTTTGGTATTTTCAGTAATCATGTTACTAACAACGTTCTAAGCCTCTCTTTCGGTCTCCTTCAGGTAGGTGTAGTTCATGAGGGAAAAAATAGGCGTTCTTGGAACCCGAGAATGAAAGAAATGACACAGTTGTGAATCAGAGTGAACGAGTAGCCTGATTTTTTTTTGGGGGGAGGGGGTAAAGACAATGAGAATAGACTCCCACGCAGTAAGTAAAGTGCTTCGGCGTCCACCACGATCCAGGGGGATAAGGTCAATGATATATCACGAGGAGAGATGTTTGGGAGAACTAGTTATGGTTTTTTACGTTTAGTGTTAGTTTGTTATCGGAGGCGTTCACTGTGAATATGTAAACCAAGGCTCAATACCATGAGCAGATTGAAAGCGGTCTCGTGGTCAGTGAACACTGTATGAAAAGCGATTGCTCAGTCTTATTCTAAATGTTCTAGCTGCACTGCTTTTCTAGGTTGGTTCTTGAAACAGAATTTATTCTTTTAACTTTCATTCAAATTATCTGTACGCATGACTAAAATGAAAATATTCGTAAATTTCCATTGTAGTCTGTGGACACCACCTGATCATATCCTCAGTAACTCAAAATCTCTCAAACTAGTCAC